TGTTATGGTGTTGAGCACTGCGTGTTCAATCTGGACAGCTGCAATGGCTCCGTACCTACAGTTACAGTAGAGGACGTGTCCATCTCTGTGAAGCTGCTTCGCTAGCTCGAGCTGATGGTTGTCCATCAGCTTTTCATTTATTACCACCAGGAGCGGTTTTCCTTCTTCTAGAGTCTCCAAGCAGCTACCTGCACCTACAGGAGAAGCAGAAAACACTACGAGCACTCTCACCGACTGATGAAGCATCACTGAAGCACGAGACACTCCTGAAGGTGCACATTTCACCCGCACAGCTCTAGCTGGTGACCTTAACCTCCCACACCAGAGACAGCCACACATCACTCGCCCACGGTTTCCTCCCCCGAGAGCACAAGGCAGGCAGCCCGCGGGCCTGCAGGTCTACCTGCGTGGCTGATCACCAGGTCGGCCCTCTGCAGCTCCTCGGCCAGCGAATCCTTGAAGCGGAACACGTCCAGCGTCAGGGTCAGGTCGCGCCGCGGGGCCGGCTCCAGCTCTCCCCGCCCGATCTGCAGCACCAGCCGCTCGCAGCCGCGGCTCCGCAGCGCCTGCAGGGGGACGGCCGGGAGGGCTCAGCTCGCACACCGGGGCTCCCAGCGGCTCCCAGTTGCTCCCAGTCTGGCACAGGGCTGCCGCCCCCTCCCCTCCCAGTCAGTGTCAGCGGGCGGGCCCCGCTGAGGCGCCGTAAGGCCGGCCGTGAGGGGACAACCCCCAACCCCCAGCCGCCCGCCCGGGCTTTCCCCCGCCTCACCCGCATGGCCGGCGGGGAGGAGACGGCCGCGATCAGCTCGTCGAAGCAGGTGGTGCCCACGGTGACGAACACGGACTTCATCGCCGCCCGCGGGGCGCCTCAGCGGCGGGCAGGAGGCCGCCAGAGAGCGCTGCGGAGCCCGCCGCGGCGCTCCTAAAATGGCCGCCGCCATGAGGGGCGGCTCCGCGCCGCCCCCGCCCCTTGCGCTTCCAGAGGAGCGAAGGGCACGGGTAGGTGTGACTTACAGAGGGGAAAAAAATCTAAATGTTTAAAAAGGATTCAGTTCTGTAAGTTTTTTTTTTTTTTTTTTTTTTTTTTTTTTTTTTCCCCCCCCCTCCACGTGTTGTTTTAGCAATAGCGGGGCCCAGTCACTGTAACTGATATCCTGACTGGTACTGGGTGCGCTCACAAGCTGCCACTCCCGTACCACAGCCACCTTTTCTTTAAAGGCTGTTATAAATGGCTCAGTCTTCAAAACAGGACTATAATCAAAGTTTATAATTTATTAAAGGAATACAGGTAAGCAAACAGTGCTAGGTGCGCTGGGAATCTCTGCTCCACCAAGACACACACCAGTTACATCAAGTAGCTGATTTTTATGCTCCTAGGCTAGTACATGTTCATTACTACTTCTTAAAAACAAACAAACAAACAAAAAAAAAAAACACAGGGTTGTTATAATTAGTTTCCTGAATCCAAACCCTCCTACTGGAGCATGTGTATCAGTCTCCGGTGGTCCCTCTGGGGGTCTCTCGTGCTGAAGGCTCGTAGTCTTCCTCCCTCTTGTCCTTCTCCTTTGTCCAACTTGACTGTATGTCAGAGACTTGTGCAGTGTCCCCTGCAAGCTTTGTCTTTCAGTTGTTCTTCTGCTTTCCCTGTCTCCTTAATCTTCTGGCCAGATATCGGAGACTTGCATAGTGTCCCATGCAATAGTCATAATAGTTAGCAGTTATTCTGAAACTCCCCAGATATCAGAGACTTCAAGGGAAAGCCTACAAATACATTTCCCTTCAAGCTCTCTATTGACACAAATTGCTAAAACATTCCTTTGCAAGATACAAGAACTATATACATTATCCACTCTGGTTTTCTTAGGCTTATACAAGGGTATGTATGACAGAAGGTCACATTCATCATACCATATGGCCCTAGAATTGTTCCATATTGACACAATTGAACATATTTCACAAGGCTGTCACTGACATGAACTAGGATTACCGAGGTTTATCCAGCTTTCCCATAACACTGCCTTGTTTCAAGGACAGCTGCCTTTGTACTTTGCTACTGTCCCTTTTCTCTTGCTACTGTTTCATTCAGTTTCCTTCCCAGATTTCCCTGTGTGGTAAGAAGGAAAGTGTCTCTTCCAATGGAAAACAAATCACCAGAAGGAGCTAGATTTAAAGAGCCATTTAATTCGTAAAAAGGTGTGATTATATGCACACACTCACCCCTATATATTTGAGAAAATACCAAAACGGCCTTTTCTTAAATGGCTTTTCTTCGCAAAAACTAATTAATCCAGGAAGCTTGGTTAATGCAGCTGTAAAGCTTCTGGAAGTTGAACTGTACTTGCTATTGACAGTTTGTGCTTTCTTAGCTCCCTCAGTAAGTTTACCACTGCTTTGGAAGAAGAGAGGTCTGATAGTTTGATTCTCAAAATTGAAGTTGCCTGCTAAGAAAGCATTTCTAGAATGACCACACTAAAACAAATATTGCTGCAAATATTGGTGTAAGTGAGGGCTGGAACTTGACAGCATACACTGCAGTGACAGGCTGCCTTCCCAGCTGGAGAGCTCAGGCACCATGGGGAGTCCTGGGTGTCAGACACTGGTGAAAGAAACAGCCGTGAAGTCCCAGGAAAGAAAACACAACAAAATGCTCTCAGGGGAACCATTTCTGAGCTTGCTATTAATGAAGAAAACATGAGGTATCTAGGGCAGACAGACTAGAACAGACACAAGGAAAACAGGAAACTAGACTCAGAAGCAAACAAACAAAAAACAAAGATTCTATCACTGGCTTCCACTGTCATTTTACCTGTCTGACGTGAGCAGTTCAGTAGGTTTTTGCTGAACTGGTCACCTCAGCCTATTAAGCAGGGGAGAAGTCATATCATTACAGAGCAAATGCATGGCATGCAAGCCTACCTTCAAATGACTGAAGGCAGGAGCAAATTGCACACATCTCAGTGAGTGTGCTTGGGTAATTTTTGCCATGTGGAGACCCTTCCACTGATACCACAGCGACTGGGCAAGATGGGAAACAAGGAAAAAGAGGCAAATGTGGTTTGAATGCTGCAATTTATGTTCTGCTTTTATAGAGCAGACCCTTAATAATTTTGACTATGTACACCGTCCCCCCAAAATCACAGACACTGGCAGAGACAAATCTGTCAGAGGAGCTGAAAATGTATATTATGTCCTGATTGCAACTCAGGGAAAAAAAATAGAAGCAAAATTGAAATCAGGGCTAGGAGCTGTATCCTCCTGGTTTCTTTTTCTCACTTTGCCACTTACCAATGGTAACACCTCTGGGAGGTGATCTTTTCTGTTTATCCACCTGCAAGGCAGTGTTTAGCAATTTATCGCCTCTAAAGAATCCTGTGGAGGTGATTATATTAATGTGTAGAGAATTAAGACATTTAAAAGTCCTCACTTTCATTTGAAGCCATTGATTATTTTTTTTTCCTCCTACCCGCCTTTACTTGATCCTTTGAAAGGTCATCATTGAATACAGGTAGGTTTTCCCTACTCCATATTGTCTTTTTTTCTAAGCACACGTCTTTCTATTTCAGGCTGTTCTTACTACCACCTTAAGAAGACTGATGAAAAACACTCCCTTGAACAAATACATGTCAGCTCCCTATGGGACATGATCCCAAGAGCCAGGGAATCAGGCAAGGAGCTGAGATGAAAGCCTCTTCTGAAAACAATGCTATTCATTGCTAAACTGCATTATATCAGTTGTGAAGATGAAGTCACTGGTAGATTTATTACGTCAGGTACATTTTCCCTTTGTGATGAACATCCTGTTGGGGGGGAAGAAGGGGAGAAATAGTGTTTTAGATTCACTAACACCACCATTAAATCTGTTAAAATAGTCTTGTCCACTGAAGGCTAGGATAATCCGTTAGCAGTTGCACAAAACTGAACTGACAGTTTTCTCAAGTGTAACACATTGTGTAATTCTACAGAAAGAAGCTACTCAAATTAAACACCTAAATCTATTTATTCCCTGAATTAAGTTTAATAGATGAGGTCACAGTTGTATACACTGCTGAGCGTTCTAAGAAAGATGCAGAAAGATCTAGCTATCCTGAGGATACCTCTGATTGCCATGTTAATGGATCATTCACAATGCTCATTAGCCCCCTGTTGCTTTCATTTAGCATAATGAGCCACACTAAAATTTATTTATTTTTTGATTAAAGCAAATGGTGCTGACAGCAGACATGGGGGAGGGGGGGCGGGAAGGGTACTTTAACTTGAGAAACAGGTTGTTAAGCAAAACAATAATCAGCCCAGAGTGCACAGGGCCTTGGTGGCACCAATCAGCCTCACCCTGCTCTTACTGCTCTCCCCCAGGCAAAGCAAGTCCAGCACCAGGTGTGGTCTGTGTGATTCAAGCCAGGCAACAACCTCACCAGGAAGATGCAGAACCAACAGCTCCAGAAAAAGGCAGGTAGAGCAGCAATGGTTCAAGCCAGGAAACCCAAACTGTGATTCAGGAGTAAAACTATCTGCACCTCCCTGTCTTTACTTAAAGCCTCAGCTTAAAGGAAGCCCCTTGCACATACACACACTGCCCCCCAGCAAAGGGCAGGTGATAGAAGCCCCAGGTGATGCAGGTCAGGGCAAGTAAGACCTAATTAGTGCAGCTGGGGTCCTGGCAACTGCTGAATAAGTCAGGCTTTGGAGTGAAAGTAAGAATGGTAAAGTAGCAGGTGGTTCAGAGATGACTGTCAACATATCTGTAAACCTTTCTGAGAAAAGGTAGGGATAGGATATTTGAGTTATTTTTAAATAAGGATAGAATTTAAATATATTGGAGTGTTTTCCTCTCTCTCTCTCTCTCTCTCTCTCTCTCTCTATATATATATATTAGGGTAGGTTAGTGTAATTCAGCAAATGCTTGTTTGTAATTAAGGCTATGTAGCTTACCAGGTGCACGCTCTTGCCCTGCCCAAATGAAAAATAAGCCTCATCATGGTGAGGTAAGTCAACATATTCATTCTGCAGTTATAACAAGTTTAGAGTTATTGTCACTGTTCCTCACCTGTGATCTCACTTTCAGCCATCCACTAGTAACTTAAAGTTCCTTTAAAGCAAGGCCCTCTCAAGAAAACATTGTACGCTATGAGCAGCACATTGTTCATGCTTTTACTATTTGCCCCGTCAAACTCCAATAGTAGAAAATGTGTATTTAGTAAATTGAAAACATTTTGAGTCGTCTTTCTAATCCTCAAGTGAGAGAGAAACTGCAATGCAGACTGCAGAGTACTGTGAGTTACATTCCTATATCTAGGTTTGCTCTACTTATTAATGTTTAGATACAGAAAACTTTTTTTTTTTTTTTTTTTTTTTTTTTTTTTTTTTTTTTTTTTTTTTTTTTTTTTTTTTTAGCTAATGGTGGTACATTCTAAAATCTGCTCAATTATTCTTGACAATGCTTTAGGGTATATTCACAAATTAAATGAAACTATGGACGTTTTAAGAGAATAACCTGTTAGGTAAGAATAAACCCGTGCATCTCAAGAAACTGAAAAAACAAAACCAAACCAAAACAAATCACTCATCCTTTCTTAATCTTAAGAAATTCAGAATAATTTCTGTCCTCAAAGCACTGCTCTTCACCTTCCAAATGTAGAAGACCTGATTGCGTAAGTGCACAGTGCTTCAAGGACAGCTGACCATACTCAGCGGTTTGCAGAAACAGACCTTATGTCACCAGCCTGTCAAATAGCATCTGTCTTCCAGTTTTCTCAGTCAAAAATGTCCAAGAGTGAGTGCCTGTAAACAGGGAGTCCTTATGCTGAATCACTTTTGAATTACCTTGTAGAAGATGTTATATGCAGTTTTGTTCAAGATAAGGGTTAAAACCGCTACTTTTAAAATACAACATGTTTAGGATAATGGTGCATCGGGTTTTGCATTTGCTTCTTTTGCTTTTTGTTGCACAAGTGCTGAATTTCACTTTTATGGGACTCTGTTTTGCTCATTTGCTTTCTAGAATGAAGATAATTCAGAAATTGCTGAAAGGATTTCTGAGGTATAGAGTAGGTCTGTGTGATTCCAGCCTGGTATTTTCAATGTGTCCCTGAAAAGTTAGTGTCTTCTGCAGTTTGTAATCCCAGCATCATGCTGTCTAGGGACTGGAGGAAAAAATACTATTCACAGATAACATTGCAGTGACTTTGCTTTGGAGCTTTCAACCGAGCGATGGAGGATACACTCCTCTTACACATTGAATTAGGCTTGTTAGGGTAGTCTTAAACTTAAAAGGAAAAGGAAAGATATCCATTATGGGATTCAACCCCGTCCTAATTTGTACCTGCTGAACATGCGTAGCGTGTATGTAGAAGTGCTTATTTTCTGGTCCATGAGAACTACAGATTGTTCACACAATGAGATATTTGGAGATGATCCCTGCAGTTCTAAGGCAGTTAAAGATCATGTAACCCAGAGTGGGTGTTGTGCTTTGTTCCTGGGTATTCACTCCCACCCTGCCCTTGTGCTTTTACAGGTACTCATACAACCACACAGTCATCCAGCTCGGAGGGTTGGTCTGCCAGAAATGTCATTTGTTTGCAGTTACATCAGTTGTCTGAGTTGCACAAACACAAGAAAAAAGGCACGATTGTGTCACCTTGGACTTAGATAGGTACAATTCCCCAGTATTTAAGCTGTTGTCCACCTCTTCCTTGCCATTAGTAGCTGGGATTGTATTCTGCAAGCCACGTGGTTCAGGCAGTGAGTGACCATTGCCTTTGGGACAGAGCTTGTGTGAACCAGTCCCCAGCTTGGGCTGAAGAGTCTCTGTGGAGCTAGTTGTTTCTCTCCAGGATGTGTGTACTGAGGGAATGGAGGGTCTTTATTCAAGAAATATGGGCTCAAACTGACATAATGTAGTCAAAGACCCAAGAGAGAAGTTTTGAGAAGGCTAAAATGGAAAATAAGTTCCTCTGAGAGCTTTCATCCATCTGTGCTTTATATGGTATGATTTATGTTCTGGTATTGTCTTCCCATGGCAACATCTGGGCAAAAAAATGAAGATGACCTGAGTGCAAGCTGGTTTTTGTTAAGTGAGAAATGATGTATGCTTTCTTTGAAATGTTTCTTGGTTTCTTTTGATGGCCCAGTTTCGAGCACTGTCTCTTTGTGTTCAACGCAACTTGCCACAGTTTGCCCTGAAAGCTCCATAATTATATTACTCAGGAGTAAGAAAATGCATGAAAATAAAGTAGTCAGTTCAATTCTTGGTTTTTGGAAAATGTATACTGCCCTCAGGTTGCTCTTGAGGGCTAAAGACTAGTCACGACTGCCACAATTAAATTTTGCCAACTCCCAAAATGCATAGGCTGAAGGCACTGTATTAAATAATGAAGAAATCATTTGAAAAAAAAAATACACCAACAGAAAAGTAAATAAACCTCTAAGCCTGAAAAGGCTGATTTTCTTTGAGGGGAAAAAATACCAATGATTGGTTAATTAAAGCCACAAACGTGCCTTTCGTTTGCTTTGTATTTTGTGCACATGTTGGTTCTCCTTTTGGCAGCACTGCAGTGGATCACATGAGACACAAGAGAGCAATTGGATTTCTCCCCACTCAATTTACATGTTCAGTTGGTAGTACATTATGTTTCATTCCTTTTTACATATTTATGAATTGGCAAAATGAGTAAAGATGGCTTTACTCCTGTTTCTAGTTGGCTTTATATGCATTTGAACTGAAAAAATGTCCACTTCCTTTTCCTCTCTCATTTAGATATAGTGCTGTCCCTGTGAGGAATGGTATTTCTGTTACTGAGGGAACCGTCAAAATTAGATGGAGAATATTTTGGGGAATAGTTCCTTCATATTAATGTGATTCAGAGATGCTCGGTCTGGGAAAATGACAGAGGAGCATTTGTCAGGCAAATTTAAATGGTATACTTTGAAATATTTCATCACAACATTTCAAATTTCATTTGAATTGTCTCTTTGTGGATTTCTTATTTCACAGTGGGGTTTGTCAGCCTATGTATACACAAAGGCGTAGACTGACTGGCAACAGTAAAGGGGATGTTAGATCACCTCTTCCTCAGGGCTGACTAGCAGAAGGCAGGCACTGGAGTGGCGTAGAAGAGCTGTGTCCACTTACCAAATATCTCACATTTGAGGTGGGATGCTATGGCTTAGCTAGAATGAGTGTTACATGTATATCAGTCCATGATCTGACTACTCTCGCAGATTTTTTCTGAATTTTGTGCTATTTTATAGCATACTTTAAAAGCCCAGGTTCTGGATTTTTAAATGATTTTTAAGGCCTTATGCTTCTGGAGAGGAGACTGAAAGTATTACTCAACTGAATCTTAAGGTCCTGAAGACTAGCACATACATAATATTTATTACATATCGATAACTATGTATCCTCTTATTACTCCCATTCTACTTTGTTTTTACAAATCTCATGATTCTTTGAGACCTGATGTTTGGAAATTCAGGGCTTACTAATTCATGAAAGTAAAGTGCTGCTGGCCTATGCCCTGCACATGAAGTAGGAGGTTACCTTTATACTTGGATATAGCACAGACTCTGTTTCAATCCTTGTTATATGAAGTGTGGCTCAACTGATTTGTACCAGCTGTGGAGCTGGATCTTTACTGACACTTGATGTCTCTGCTAGGTTTCTGTCAAGGATAATATGCTTGCATTCTAGAAACAGAAAGTGGACTTCATATCAAATAAAATTTCTCAAAGCTGGTAATTTCCAATGAGCGCTGAGGACATTTGGGAAGTTGTAAAGGAAATAATTTGAATCACAGAATCACAGAATTTCTAGGTTAGAAGAGACCTCAAGATCATCGAGTCCAACCTCTGACCTAACACTAACAGTCCCCACTAAACCATATCCCTGAGCTCTACATCTAAACGTCTTTTAAAGAATGGTTCTAACACAGGCTGGTGTGCAGACATAGGAGGGAGCCTGAGGTCTGTTGCAAGGAGCATTATCCTGGCTGTGAAGGCTCGATATGGTGATGTCTCTTGGCAACTGGTCTCTTCAGCTTCCCAGGGAACCTCCACTAGTGACAGCCTGGCACTACTCCTTGCTGTCTGTGGAAAACACACCCTGCTATTTCTGCCCCCTAGCTACCAGCAAACACCTTCACAGCAATCCACTGTGTGAATGCTTTGCTCTTTCATATTCTTGCATAATCCCTCTGACAACCAAATCTATTAAAATTCATTTTCATCCAGGCAAATCAGACTCAAATCAATTGAGCTTTGTTCTCTGAAGGCAGATTGCTCTGGTGCACATGCAATCAAATCCTGAGGTGGCCTTGCATGTATTTTTACAAGCACTGAGATATGCTTTGTGTTTCAATTATTCTTTTTGATGCACAGTTTTGAAGGGAATTTAAATATTATGCTCAAGTAAACAGTTTCAGATCTTTGGGAAGGATCTCCAAGTGAATGGTGTTCTTCCCTTTTCCCAACCGGCACCAACAATATAGGTACATAAAAATGTCTGTCCTCACCACGCAGCATAGAAATAGGAAAGGAGGTGGCCTGTGAACCCAGTTTAAATTTCACCTCCCTTGTGCTTATTGTTTTCAAATATCTGGCTCTCAGCAGCAGTACTTTCTGTAGGCATTTTGAATTGTGTTTCAGAATTCTTCAGAGATGCCTGAGTCACTCTACTGAATAAGTAAAAGGATTTTGGGAGGATGGAGACTAGCTGAATATACTGTACAGTGACTGAAAAGCTATTTTAATTCTGCCTAAATAGAAAATAGAAAAGCACGGGTATTGGGCAAACATGACCAGCAGCGTTCATGCCACTAGAGGGCTGCCTGCAAACGCTGCATCAAGGAAATAAAAAGGCAGCAAGCACGCAGGCTCATTTTCGCTTAGTCTTCCCAGCACATTGTATAAGCACCTTTGCATTTGCAATGCCTGTTTTTATCTCCTCAAGCTGGCTACCAAAACCAAAGTGAAATACTGAAAGCATATGACATGCGGTGCCTGGCCCAACAATGGAGGTAGCCAACACAGCTCAGCATAAGGCCTCAAAGATCAGATAATGCCTCGTGCATCGAGTCTGCCTATTTTCAGCAAATATTTTTCAAAGGAACTGTACCCTCTGCATCGTTCCCAAGCCTTTGCAACAAAGGCAGGGGTGCTAGCAGCAGCAACAGAGCCATGATTCATTAGCCTGTCATTTTTGCAATAATAAGATAATAGTTTATTATTTACAGGCTGTCTAGTTGCCGTGAGACATTTGGGATCAAAGTGGCCACTA